GTCTGCTCAGGTGGGAGGCTGCTGTAGGAACTGATCGATCTTTAAAACATGCGTATGAAGAGAGGTTCATGGGAAAGGGCTTGGGTGTGAATCACTCTCCAGGAAATGGTCATACATCTAGGGTTGGTCCATGCTCCTCTGCTCAGGAAAGCCCCAGCCAAGCTTTCTGACTCCGCACACAAAGAGATGAGCTCACTGGCTAAAATGTCAAAGGCAAAGATCATATTTTGATCCACAGTTTCCTCAGTTTGAAAAGACATCAGCATGTGAAAATGGGCCACTCAAGCATGAACTCCTTACAGAAGGCACTGAATGGAAATTCTTAGTTTTGAAGATCCATTAATAGAAATAGATCATTTCAGAAAATAATTTGAGTTTAGATTTCCTAGCAAGGATCAAGCAAAGGGGAGCTTATTTGCAAAGGCAGGTTTGGAACTGCATGTGTCTCCCCAGGCAGCAAGAAGGTGTTGCCGGGCCTGTGCTGCTCTGGAGGACGCGAGAGCGAGAACCACCACCATACCTCCCCAGTGGGGGGCGGGGAGAAGAGGGAAGGTGGGGACTGCAGAAGCAGGGGTCTGCCCGGAATTTGGGATGAGGATCAGCTTCCAAGCCCAGCACTAAGGGAGAGAAGCCAATGCCAGTGCCTGGTCAGAGACGGCTCTGGGCTCGGGGCTGAGCAGGGGCAGTCAGAAGAACAGAGGCAGCAGCACCCAGGCTGCTTTCTGGTCGACAGCTGGCCTGTCGGAAATGGAGATCTGCCCAAGTTTTGCAAAGTACTCCTCATCAAGAAATGCAAAGGACTGTTGCCACCTTCTGACGTGAAGGCCAGGGTCCAAGTGCAGAGAGTCCCTGTGGGCCACCAGGAAAGTGTGGTCCCCGCCGGGACAGGAGAGGCCTGGTCAGGGTGTGGTGAATGGCTCCTGCTAAGGCTGTCCGCTTTGAGGTGCTACGGCTAAGTGTCCACCAGGCACTGCTCTGGACCAGGCTATGGACTGCAAGGTAAGAGGAAGCCCTCCAGGGGTCACAGTCCATGAAGAGAGCTCCGAGAGGCGTGAGGCGCAAGGGCTAGTTCAGGAAGTCACTGAACATGAGCAGGTGGTCTATGGCACTAGGGCCTTGGACAGGGAGCCTGCAAGAAACGACAGGGTGTGAAATGACGCCTGCGCTCTGTGGAGCCTGGTCTGTGGCCACAGTGAGGGCAGGGGAAGGACTGCTGGGAGGATGGACACGGGAAAACAGCCTTTTCCTGGCGTGGGCACAGCCTTTCCAAACAGAAGGGAAAGCAAGAACCCTGTCCTGAGGTGGGGTACCGAAGGGGACACACAAGTGCCTGGGCGCCTGGCTCTCGTCACGTGTGGACTGTCCCGTCTGTTCTCACAAGCACCAAGGACCACCTCACAAGAGGCCTGGCGGTCTCACACACCCTCAGGACTCACCCCTGCTCCTCCCATGTCCCGTCTGGGCCCGGAACCTGCCCTGGGGAGACTCGGAGAAGGAAAGCCTCCATGGCTGCTGCAGATGCTGGTGCTTGCAGTTTTGCCAGATTCATGCTTGAAAGTCACAGGCTTAGGGGACGGGGAGGCAGGACTGCTGGACAGTGTGTGTGCCTATGCAGTGTGACAGCACGACTGCACAGATTCATGCAGCATCATCTTGAGCAGTACTAACTCACAACAGTACCCGTGTCTTATGGAACTAGTACGGCAGACTTCTCCTTTGGGCTACTGAAGTATGCATACTTTGAGTAATTATATGAATTTCTGAGTTTAAAAGCTTAACTTTTCTTTTTTTTTTTAGTTGTATGTGGACACAATGCCTTTATTTTATTTTTGTGTGGTGCTGAGGATTGAACCCAGTACCTTCCACGAGTGAGGCAAGCACTCTGCCACTGAGCTATAGCCCCAGTCCTTAACTTTTCTTTTTTAAACTATAATCACTTCTAAAAGTTTGAGTACCTCTGTAAAATTTTCCTTGCAGATGCATGCATACCTGAAGATAAGACCCGTGCTTCAGACAACTCTAGATAGGAAGGATGTGATGTGAAAGAACTAGAGATGCATATAAGGGAACATGGCGGAGGGATCTTCCAGAAATGTGCTGAGCCCGAAGCCCCATCCTGGGCACTAAATATGGCACTGGTACGCACCGGTGGCTCCTTCAAAGCATTTTCTTTTCAAATGACACATCATTTTTTTGTGAACTACTGAATGAATAGGTTTTTAAAAGAGAATTGTTTTCATTAAAGCTTACTTGAGTTCTTGTGAACTGGTGGCCAGCATACTTCGAATGCTTTTGTCAGCCAGTGGGCAGCCGGACAGACTGTAAGACAGGCCAGGGGGGCAGGTGAGTGAGCCTCTAGGCAGTGGAATCGCCCGAACAAACACAACATACAGTCGAAATTAAAAAGTTCAATGCAGAAGAGCAATGGGGCAAGTGCTGTATATTGAATTTTTTGTATCATTAATTCTGAATATGTAGAAATGTAAATTTAATAAAACATTTCTGTTAATAAGCATTTTTTTTTAAAAGTTGTGCTTTTAGGTTTAAACGTTTGAGAAGAATTTTGCGAATTTTGGCATTTGGGATTAAAAGACATTATACAACACGTCAGTCGGCATGCTTTTGAAGGTCAACATAGAGCACTTAGGGGTCACACAGAATCAACGTTGGTACTTGACAGCATTGTTGAGGTAAGCTGAAAACAATAAATTGAAGACAGAATCCACCATGAGAGAATGAAGCCACACCTTCTGTGTGAGGCGTAATTGCCAGTCACATGACCACTCCCATCACACCCCGGAGTTGGACATCTGCCACCAAACAAAAACAGAACAGCCAGAACAGTAAGTACGTTTAGAAAACTTCCAAAGAGTTTCATTGTTTCCAGTTTAGCTGCAATGTCTGCAAGGGGGTTAAGCACCCTGAAGGACAGCTGGGAAGTGCACAGGATCAAAGGAGATGACGCTTCCGAACGACAGAGCATCATTGAGACCCCGCAGGCACAGGTCAGCCTCTCGCCTACTGACTGGCAGCTGGAGAGCCGGTGCCGCGAACGCGCATGCTCAAACGGCAAGGCGGGTGCAGACCGGTCTTTAGGAATAAGCCAAAGGAAGGGAGGACCGAGGAGAGTCGAGCTTCACCTCGCGTCATGCTTACGTTATTAGGTCCTTTTTGCTCTCCTTGCACTGGGGGTACTTGGGCTTGGGGCTCGGGATGGTCACCTCCCCAGGGTACCTTCTTTCTTCCAGAGCCTCCTGGAATGGGTCCAGGTCTTCTGGCTGTAGACAGAACACAGACAGCTTCAGTGCAAGCCGAGAAGGGCCCACGCCCGCTGGGCTCCGGCTCTGCTTCCCCACCTCTTCTCCCACGATTCATAACCCAACGCTCTGTTCCCTGGCAAGGCTCCTTCTGAGAAAGCAGACTCCCCGGTGTACCGCTGCTCCAAATTTCAAAGTCCATGGTAAACTGCCAGGGGTCAGAGCCCTTACTCAGTCTCCTGCTGGCCAAACTGCAGCAGGACTCACAGCCAGTGTGGCAGCTGGGGGTCTCTCTCATCCAGTACCCAGGGGATGCCTGCTGCCCACCACTGACACTGCACTGCTACTCAGCCCTACGTCACTGGCGAGTGTTTTAATATATGTGCCTTGAAGTCTCAGTCGATGGAAGACAACTGTGGAATGTGATCTTAAACTGCCCTTGGGCAGCATTTTCTGAGTACCTGTGTTTAGTTGCGTCCACTTGCAGTAACCTATGAATCCCTATAGGTGGCAGCGCCGGCAGTTGGTGCCCTCAATTCACACTGCACAGCTCTGTTCCTCATAGGACCTACAAGATGAGAGTTTTTGTCCCTGTGTATGGGAGCTTAATTCTAGTTATAATAAATTTGGGGATTCAAATACAATGTATTTTTGATAGTAATGATTTAACATTGCAGGAGAGTACAACAATTTTTTGGAATTTAGCTTGCCACCCAGATTTGATTTTTTTCACAATGTCTAGATACTTAAATCAATTTGAGGAATAAACACAATAGACTTATGGGCATGTGGCTTCCCTGTCAATTCCTTCATGGAGCTAATATTTCTTTTCCCACCTCCTTGTTTCTGTAAGACACAATTGCTTGGTGGGGGTTCATTTTGTAGGAAATAAAGGAGAGTCTAAATATGGATGAAAAAATCCAATAAAGAAAAAGAATCCTTCCTTCCTCTTTTAGCCCAAGGGACATTATATCCACTTTAATAACCTGAATTTGAAAATTCAAATTCCTTCAACAATATGTTCTTGACAAGGGTGTCATATGGTCCTAACAAGGCTGGGTGATTGTGCATTCAAGGCCAGGCACACTCGTCTGAGGTTGTGGTCTTGGAGAGGAGCCCTGTCCTTCGCTTCAGAGAGCATGCCGGCAGCCATCGGCTGCTTCGCACACTCACTGCTCATTGCCAGCCTCTCCTAGCAGAGAAACCTGAGCTGCTGCTTTGACAAGGAACTAGTGCTGCCTGTGCCCTTCCCCAGAGGAACTTGTAGCAAAGCACACTTGTCAGAAATACAATGTAAGAGTCAACAGTTTGTTTCCCCCAAACCGGTAAGCCACCATCTCTTCCAGGTCAGGGAGAAGTGTCCCTACCTAAATCCTAGGCAGCTGAAAGCCATATTTAAAGAAAAACTGGGCTTGTTTTGAACGTGTGCAAATGGCATCTGCTCTCAGCCAGGCCTACTCCAGCCTCTCAAAGATCACAGCCAGAGCCAAGAGAAGGGACAAAGGACGTACGGCCATCTCTTTGGGGTCATCCTCGTCCACCCGTCGGGGCTTCATCTTGGTGTAGTCCACTGGCAAGTCCCAGCAGTCGCCCTCGCTGAGCTGGAAGCACCGGCTGCTCATCACTGCCTGCTGCTGAGGGGACATGGGCTCCAGGGGCGTCAGGACGGGGCAGCAGCTATCCCGAGGCCTCTGTTTGTTCATGCTGAGGTCCAGGGTGCCATTCTCATCCACGTCCATGTCAGGGTTCTGTTGGCAGAGAGACATGTGACAGCCGGGCCGAGCACTTGGAACACCCCATCCTGTGCGCCCAGACTGTGGCCCTGCCCTCAGCAGTGTCATGTTCACCCCCAAACTCCTCATTACTGTCACTCCCAAGGCAGGCCAGCTTGGTCTGATGGCCATGTCAGCTACCCGGGGCTTACCTGGAAAGTTGTGTGGAGACTGATGAATGGATCTTTGACCATTTCCCTATTTTTCTGCCATCTTCCCCCCCTCCCTCTCTTTTCCCATTCCCTCCAGTGCATCTCTGTTTTTAGAAATGAGCATGGCCATAAGAGATTCAAAGAAGTACTTCTTTTTGATGTCATTAGAGTTCAAATGCCTACAAGATCAAAAATGTGTGTGTCTCTCCGTGTGTATGTCTGTGTGCATACATGCAGCTTATGAACTCTCCTTTAGTTTCATTGATGCCAATGTTTCAAGAATTAGGAGGAAAACGAAAGACTCAAGGATGAAGGAAGGAGGAGAAAGGAACCGATTTTCTTTCTGAGCCCTGTGCAGTGCTGAGGACTCTGCTTGCAGACGAGGTATGCAGCCCAGCCTGGCACAGGGCTGGGTCTGACCTGCTCTATGCGTCAGCACCCTGCACTGCAGCCAACTGCCCAGGAACAAACCAGAGAGGTGCGTTTCAAGGTAAGAATGCTTCAGGGAGACAAGGCTCCTTCCCACCTGCAGGAGGAGGGAGAGAGGGGCCCATGGAGGACAGAAATGCCCCCAGTAATTCTCCACTTTTCTGGCAGAATTACACTTTTTTGGACAAAAATGTGATGTCAGAGATGGAGTGAAACTGCTGCCTGCCAGGAAGGACCCAGCAGCACTTCCCTCTGGACGTCATTGCCAAGGAGGATCCACCACTGGGAGTCCTGGACTGAGGCTGTCCCCGGTATGTGTCCAGCATCATCCTGCCAAAGAACATCCTGATCTCCAGCTCTGATACTCATTTCGGCTGACATGATGTTTGAGTTGCTCTCTTAGTTTAAGAAAGTGAAAACTAAACTCAACTAAAATAAAAGTTTCTGTCTTGCCCTGGAGGGATCTTTCATGGTAGTCTTGCATTTTACCAGCCCTGATCACGTGAAAACTGCACGCCCCTAATGCTGCTCCACTACTAGGAATAAAAATATCAAAAAGAAAAAGCATTTGCAAAACATAAGATTACTGACCTTTCTCCATCCACACAAATTATACTCATTTATAAGGACTACTGTCAGAGCTGTTAGCGAATGCAGCATGGCCGACTGGCTTTAGATAATGGAGAGAGCGCCCTTTGTCTGGAGAGTGGCTGACATCCACAAGCCAGAGCCTGCGCTCAGAACACAATGGGCCCCCTAGCGGCCCGGGCGAGACAGCTCTCCATTCTGCCGTGTTGGGGGCGCTCCCTCTCCTCTCTGGGCACACGTGGGAGCCCTTTGGTGAGGAAATGAACAATAGGAAAGCCGGTGACCCCTGCGCTCCCTTCCAGCATCTGTGACCGTGTGGCCTAGCAGCGCCATGTGACTTGCTCCCGGGCCATCTATTGGAAATGTGGGTGAGGGGCAGCCCGCCTCTATTTGATAAGGGTGCTGCCAAACCTTCCTCTCATTTAACGTCAAGGTGCTTTGCTCTTTGAGTTCTCTGTGAGGTCATTTGAAACGCCACGAAGACTTTTGATGTGTGAGTTACAAACAGTCACACTGTGAGCTCAGAGTTTACAGAACCGATTTTCCACCCTAAAGAGGGAGAGGCCTGGCGATTTCTCCTGACCTAGAACACATGGGTCTCCTGGGCAGTGGTGCAATGGGCAGCTGCAGCCGCGCGGCATCACTGCTCAGGTGAAGGACCTGCAGCACCGGCAGAGCGCCCCCGCGCGGGCGGCAGCGCAGCTGGCTCGGTGCGGTTGCGCGAGCAGAAGCCCCGCCTCCCGAGCCCGCCCGCGGCCAGGCGCAGGTGGGCGTACCCGCGCGGCACACAGGTCCTGTGGCTTGGTGGACAGGTTCTGTGGCATCTCGCGGCAGCGCGTGGACAGGTTGAGGATGGCGGCGGCCGCCATGTGCGCGGCCTCCACGTCGTGCGTGTAGTCGAAGCTGCTCTTGCTGCACGTGCTGCTGGCGCTGCTGCCGCCGCCGCAGCTCAGGTTGCTGCTGCTGCTGGGCGCGTAGCTGCTGGTGGTGCTGCTGCTGGGGCTGGCGGTCTTGCAGTACCGCTTCGCTGCGGAGACAGCGGACAGGACGACTCAGGCCCCGAGCCCAGGACGCGGGGACACACAGCTCCCCCGCCGCCCCGCCCCCGCATTTAAACACACAGCGATGGGGAACATGATGTGGGGGCTTCTCACAAAGAGGACCTCTGGCTTCTTTCCCTTTTTAACATGGCAGGTGTTCGGTTAGCAGAGGGCTGGGGTGAGCTGGGAAGGAAGGCACCCTTTTCTTCAACAGACTGCACAGACATGCGTGGCAACTTCCCCTCCCTGTAAAGGAACACCCCTGGCTTGGATCTGGCTACAGATAGTGACAGTTCCAGTCTGGTCAGGGCTTGAGGAACCAGCTTGTCTGGGGTGGGGGATATTGTAGCGGTCAGCTTGGGCTCTGTGTCCCACATGCAGGTGACTCAGATTCAAGGGCCATATGGGGATCACCTGTTGGGGTTATGGAGACCCTGTGCTTTGGGAAATGGATTTTTGGCTGGGCCTGCAGGCTGGACAATGTGGCCCCAATAGCCCTTATGCTATGCATCCCATACAGGCTGTGGAGGGAAAGGTAGAATATACACACCTGTGGCCCTGGATCAGGGTAAGTGTCAAGACACCCCTGACTGGCTGCCGGGTGTGCAGTCAGGCACTAACCCTTTATGTCAGCAGCCTCTCCGTCTGCCTGCAAGGAGCCTGGACTGCTCAGTGTCCCTTAGGAACAGCTGTCTTCACTAACAGCAGGCAGGAGGAAAGAGAGTTATTTTTAGAGCTCCTTAAAACCTCCTTTAGTACCAGGATGATAAAATGTCTGAGTCGGTCATGTGTCAGGATGGGACCTTTTCCTACTCATACAGTATCACTGCCAGGATGTCAGAATGCGTTCTTTTGCGTGGGTGCATGGATCCACCTTATATCCCGTGTCTGCAGACCCCCGTGGAGCTAGACTCTGCAGGTGCTTTCACCCTCCCCCAGGAGCTTCTCCTCTCTCCAGCTGCCATGGTCAGCCCTAGGCAGGCTGCCCTAAGAGCAGCTTGGCCTGCGTTCTGTTGTGCCTGGCCCTCCATGGGCTGTGTCTCTAAAGAGGCCACCTCCATTCCCGTGGCTGCCAGGGAGCCTGGCAGCTGGACACTGTTCCCTGGTTGTTGGCCTCCAGCAGCCCTCTGTCTAGAACTCAAGTGCAGCGCCTTGCTCTAGAGACAACCCACGCAACACACCCTCTCACACAGCTGAGCCATCTTCCGAGTCATACCACACCCTACCCAGGGCACCAACTGGGAGGCCCAGGAGGGATAGGCTGAGGGGTCGTGGCCGCTAACTAAGGGCTGGCTAGAGAACGCACACTCAGGACACTGGGGACGAGGTGCCTCCTGGGTGACAGGATGAGGCAGTGGAGACCAGAACCCAGGAGGCAAACTGGCCACCTCACTCTCCTCAGCCTCCTGCCCCAAACCACAAAGCAAATTGCATACGTTAGTGGCTTGCGCACACAGCCTCTCTGCTGTGAGCCTGAGAAGGGCAGACTGTCCTCGCTGTCGTGCGCTCTGCCCAGCGCGGCCCTGGGAGCAGCTCCCACTTGGGTAGCTCAGCATGCCCGAGGTCAGTTGCCTCCCATGGGGTCTCCTCCCTCGGCTTTCTGAATGCTCTTTACTAAGGAGCAGAACTGTACCTCAGGGTGGGCCTGCTGCAGGTCTAAGAGCAGCCTTGCCAGGCCTCTGAGGGCGACCCTGGGCACATGTGGGAGCAACCAGAGGGGCCAGACAGTGGCCACCAAAGTCCTCAGAGTCGCTGCCTGGGGTACTTTGGGATGCTCTGGATGTGGACTAAAGTTCTTGGTTTTCATCATTTAGAATTTTGTTAAAAATAGGGTTATGGAAACTAGGGGAAATGAAATAATATATACTAGGGACATCTTTTTCCTTTTAATAATCTGATAAAGGCTAGCTATTGGTTCAGGAATGAGAGAAGAAGTGGTCCAGGTAAACAGGAAAAACAGTTGCTTTGTTTTGAAACTAGACAATGTCCATTTCTAAAAAATGCTCAAGGACCAACTTGGGTCTACAGTTCAACAGCAGCTAGTGCTGGGGGGCTGTGGCAGATGTGGCAGGCTTGGGAGTGGCTCTGCTCAGCGCTGGACAGGGTCCTCAGGCAGGAGAGTAGTGCAGGGTAAGGGGAGCCGGTTGCTGCCTCCTGGGTGTCAGCTTCATCCTGCTGTCTGTCTGTGTCGTGGTGGCCACACTGGGTACCACTGCCGTCTACTCACAGGGCTCTCTAACGTGACTCCTCTAGCCCACCACCTCCTAGTGACATGCTGCTGCATGCCCATCTCAGAGATGTGGAAACCAAGGCTGACCAAGGGCAAGACAGACACACAGGGGAGGGCCTGGGCCACAGTCAGGGCGCAGGTTGCCTGGTCTTATCAGCCTTCTGTCTGTCAAACAGTGCGATGTCTACGGGGCAGCAACCTTTAAAGGGAGTCTCTACCGTGACTGCACTTCTTCTCTTGCCTTCCCTGGATTGCTTGAAATCATCCTGAAGTCATGAATTGACATCAGCAGGAGGGAGCACCTCCTTACCCAAGTGTCTAAACCTCAGACGCCACATCTGGGTTATACCAAGAGCATAGTTTACAATTGTATCCGGCAAGTAAGCTGTCGATAATTTCTTGATTCACCCGTCAACTCATTTCACTCAAATAATTATGACAATATTTACCTCATATCTATCCTTCTACTGGACATAAATAATTTTTTTGTGTTTATTCAAAACAAAAATAAGAATATCTATACTTTAGATCATTCAAGAAAGGAATGATCCTAATATTGCCTATTTGTGAATGACCACAAATCCCTTAGCATCAGACATTTGGGCCGAACTTAACATGCTCTGAGTCATGATGCTGACTCTGGTGCACTGCAGGGCAGGGGCAGGGAGCATTGGCCCTGGTAGTCCCCAACTTCTTCTCCCCCAGGACTGACCAAGCCCTGCTTTGTCAGATGAGAGCAACCTAACAGAGATCAAATGCATGGCAAGTAACAAACAGATTTTGTTTTTGATACCAGGGATCAAACCCAGGGCCTTGTACATGCGAGGCAACTGCTCTACATTGAGTTACATTCTCAGTCCCCAGATATATTTTAAATCCAGCTGCTTTTCCATCAAAGAGCAGACAACATTTTCTAAGATCCTGGTGCCCAGCTGACTTCGGGAAGGCATGAGGAACATTATCACATCCCCCCAGAAGGTAGCAGGTGTTGATGGCCCTGACCACCACTTCTCCTAGCATCTTGTCCCTGTATGCAGGAAGAACTACACAATCACCATGCCTAGGATGAATTATGGCTGCATATGCAAATTAAAAACCCCAAAGCAAACAAACACAGACTTCCCACCAGAGCTTCTTCCTGCCTACTCTGTGTGTGTAGCTTCTTTCTGAACATGAGCAGCTTATTCTCCTAGGAGTGTCTGTTTCCTTGTGCATTAGCATTTGCGTGCAGGGAATAGATAAATATGCCCTTACAACCCCGAATTTCCATGAAAACTAGACAAAAAAAAAATGTGAGCAAAGGATATCTATCATGAGGTCTCACTTCCACCAGACCTCACCAGGAGCTGGTGACCTTGAGGCCTGCCTAGTCCATCTGACCTTCCACATTGTAATCTGCAACCCTGGTGCTCAGAGCTTTTACTGTGAGCACATAGTTCACCACAAGCACATTAAAATGTGGATGCAGAATCTTATATGGGAAAAAGGAGCCTTTTTTGTCAAATAGCCTGTTAGATAAAGCCTGCAATGCAGACGGTGTGCTTACAGGGTCTTGGAGACATCTCTCCATGGGTCACCCTTCACGTGGCTACTCCCTGCCT